GAGAGGAGGAAATGGAAGAGAAGGCGAGGGTCATGGCTATGCCCTGGGTCTGTAGAAGGCTCCAGCTTTCCCTGACCCCAGCTCTGCCCCCACACCCACCTTACCCCATCTCAGGGTGAGGGGCTCAGACAGCCCCTCATGGTACACATGGCATGTGTATCTCTTCTCCTCTCTAGAAGGCACCACCAGAGCTGCCCACTTCTGGAAGGTTCCATCACCTGCAGGTCTGGTCTCCACCGCCTCCATGTCCTGTTCTGTTCCTCCTCACCCCTCTTCCAGGTCTGGGTGAAGTCAGCAGGGTAGAAGCCTAGGGCCTAGCACCTCAGGGTGACATCATCTTGAGGTCTGGGGTGATGGGTCACGTGTCTCTGGAGGGTTTGAGAATAGGTGGAAATGTCAGGTGTTTTTCACTCTTCCTGGGGACTCCAGCAGGGTCCATGAGACCTTCCTGAGAAGGGTCAGAAATGGGGTGAGGGAGGGGTTAAAATACCCTGAAGCTTAGACACAAGGTTCTAAATAATCTTATCTTTGGAAAATTCTAGATAGGGGTGAAAGAGCCCAGGGCCAGAGAGCTCTAGGTGTCACATCAGGAAAGGGACTTCTGTCCTGACTGGGTGGGGCTGAGGGATTCAGCCTCACTGAAGACTCCAGAGACCTTGGGTGTGGGTGGAGAACTGGGCTTGTGGAAGGCTGTGGCCCACAGGACTGCAGACTGAAAGTCAACTGCCTTGGTCATTTCAGGACCTTCTCTCCTTCCCTCTGGAGACACACTCTGAACTCTCCTGAGAGGAGGGTGAGCCTTGGGAGAGTCAGTCCCTGCTAAGGGCAAGGATACCAAATAGAACTTTCCACCTTCTATAAGTGAGAGATAGGAGACAGGTGGATATGATGTCAGAAGGAGAGACAGCCTGAGTTTCCTCTAAAGCCAGGAAGCAGACAAGGGAATAGACTCTCCACCATCATATCTGATACAGTGATGATTTATATAAGCTATCAGAGTTAGATGGAAGATAGGCACAAAAGGGTCAAAACAGGAAAGGAAGAAGTCCACTCTTTCCAAAAAACATCATTCTTTCTTACAACACCCTCTTGATCCCATAGACACTATCTGGGATCTAATGAACACTTATGGTTTTACACAAAAATCAATAGAAAAATGGAACCTTCATTTATGCTAGTAGTGTATTTTAGGAAATGTACAACATTCGAAGTAACTCCACCAGAATGAAGTGTCTGGAGGTATACCTACCCAAAGAAATGAAAGAAGTCTGCAATGAAAACTTCAAGATATAGACACAGGACATCATGGAAAGACAAACCATGCTCTTGGACTGGCAGAGGTAATATTGTGAAAATGGCCATACCACCAAAATTAATCTGGATATATAAGGCAATACTATCAAAACTCTGATATATTCCATAGGTGTAGAAAAGAGGAAAAATCTGTATGGAGTGAAAAAGACCATGAACAGCCAACACTCCTAAGGATTAAGGTCACTGCTGGAAGCTGGACATGGTGAGACACTCCTTTAATCCCAGGACTTGTGAGGCAGAGGCAAGTGGAAGTCTGTGAGTTCAAGGCCAGTCCTGCCTACGAAGTGAGTAGGACTGTAACAAATAAAAAAGCCCTGCTGGAGGTGTTACATCACCAACCTCAAATTACCCTGCAGAGCTATAGTGACAAATACAGCCTGGAACAGGCATAAAACAGACAGGAAATTCAAAGGCATAGGATAGATAGAGATCCTGGACATAAAATGACAAAGATATGCAGACTTAATTTTAGAGAAAGAATGCAAAACACAAACTGGAAAAAGAGCCCATTCTATGCACCATGCTGCAACACTGTATTCCTGCCCGAGAAGATGAATTTAGATTCTCACCTTTCACCTTGTACAGAAGTAAACTTTAAATAGAGCACTGACCTTATTATGTTCAAATCTTGAAACACCCAAAGTTCAAGAAAACAGTCTAGGGGGGCCCTTCCAGATACTGGGGTAAGCAAGAACTTAGGATAGAACAGCAGTACCACAGGAGCTAATGAGGCCACACATCAGCATGAAAACAAAGTCTCTCCACAGCACAGGGCACAATCAGCAGAGAGAACAGAAGCCACAATGGGAGGAAACCTGTCAGCCCCACTGCAGACAAGGGGACTAGAGTCTTCCATTTACCGAGAACTGCAGAAATTAAATACCAAGGAACTAATGTTGTCAATCAACCAATGGTCGAGAGAATTAAACAGACAGTTATCTTAATAAAAGAAAATCTCAAATGGCCACTAGCTATTTTTAGTGTGCTCGGTATCTCTACCCTTCATGAAATGCAGATTAAACTCCTTTGAGGGGCTGGAGAGTTGGCTCAGAGGTGAAGGGCACTTGATGCTCTGCAGAGGACCTGGGTTAGATGCACTGTGTGTAACTCCAGCCCCAAGGACCTGACACCCTCTTCTGAGCCCAGACACCAGGCACACACATGGTGCACATGCACACACGCAGGCAAAACCCTCATCCACATGAAGAATGAAATAAAGATGATGAAACTGCTTAGAGACAGCGCTTCACCCCAGTCAGAAAAGCTGTCACTAAGAAATCTGACAGCAAATGGTGGAGAGAACACGGGGAGAGAGGAGCCCTTACTCACTTCTGTGTGTGTGTGCATGCGTGCACACGCGCGCACACACACACACAAATTAATACTGTCTTTGTGGAAATTATTTTGCTCATTTCTTAAAAAAAAAAATCGAAGCTAGAACCACCGTATGACCCAGCTATTTTACTCCTGGGCAGAAGTCCACACCCTACTGGTGAGACATTTACACCCCATGGTTATTGTTGTTTTTTCACTAGAGTGAAGAATTGGGTTTAGTCCATCAGTGGATGAGAAGATAATGGACATTTGGCATCCACACACAATGGAATACTGTTCGGCTGTAAACAATGTAATCACAAAATACTCAGGAAAATGGGTGAACTTAATGTGTATATTATTAAGCGAGGTCTTTAAAAGAAAAACTACATTGTTTCTCCTCATACGTGGGATATAGTCAACAATATATGGACCAGGTCATCTTCAAGCACTTCAGAGATCTACAGACTATGGCATTTAAGATGTTTTAACAACCTATGTTCTTCTTGTTCATGGCAATGAGGCATGTCTGCTCCTGGCAGCTCCAATCTACTTCAGAGAAGATAATGAACATCGAAGAAACTCCACATGGAGTTTACTTTCTCTGTGGCAAAAGTAAGACACTGGGCAAGAAAATGTCCTTGCCTCGACTGCTGACAGAATGCTGTCCTAATTTGACAAGCAGCACACAAAATATCCAGCTTCACAGAATAGTCTGTCGGATATGCTAGACCTGTAGGCTGAAGATGGAAGCCCCAACATTGCAGAGGAACTTAGGGTGACTGTCCAGGCAGCCAGCTGTTTCTGTCATTTCTCACATTTTTTGGAAGTCGCTTGCTCACACTTCCTGCTTACTCAGTTAATATATGTCCTTCTTGGGTCTCTGAGGGAGCGGAAGACTAGATAGTTAGTTTTCCTTGTTTACTGGACACAGAAAGCAAGTTATAATAGAAAGGAAATTAGGTACAAGACTTTGGACTCACCAAGATAGAGATTTGGAGTATTTTCTCTGAATTTGTCAAATGCAAATGGACTAGACATTGTTGATGTACTTATTGCCTGAATATATTGTATATAGTTATTGTACTTATTGTATATAGCTTTTCTTACATTAGTCATAGTTTTTTATTTTAAACAAAAGGAAAATGTAGTAGCATTTGATTTTTACTTTAATAAAATAAAATAAAGCTTGCCTATAGATCAGAGAGTAAAACAGCCCCACTGGTCAGCCTTACTACCAGGCAGTGGTGACACACACCTTTAATCCCAGTAGCCACACTAGTTCCCATAGCAACCAGGCAGTGCCTTCCCTAAATCCCAGTGATGCACACCTCTAACGACAGCCCTAGAGAGGATTACAAAATGGGAGGAAACCGCTCTCAGACACAGTCTCATTCTGAGATTCCTGGAGGCAGGATCACCATTTTGGACTGAGTTTAGGTAAGAGCCAGTGGCTGGCTGCTCCCACAGCCTCTTCCTGTCCCACCAGGTGCACACAGCATAGTGAACACAGATTCTGGGAGGTTCTCCACGCTGCCTTTTGTTTCCTCCACACTCTACGTATCTCAATTCTTTATTTTACCGCTAATCAACCTTTGAGATCAAGGACGTGAACAATCAAGTTCACGTTCAGATTCATATTTTCAGTGGGGAACTCAGGGGCTGCAGCTCAGGACAGCATGGAGGAGACAGGATGGAGATGTCCCCTCCTGTCTGCAGGAACAGGAAGGTTGGCTGTGGAAGGGAACAGGGCAGTGCAGGGACAGGGTCAGGTGTGCAGGGCTGGGCTGGGCTCCCCAGTTCTTCACACTGAGCCCATAGGATCACAGGGAACATCAGACACTATTGCTGAGAGTGAACTGAGGGGCTCTGGATGTCACAGGAGAGACCTGAACACATCGTCTGTCACTCCATCCACACCAGGCAGCTGTCTTCATGCTACAGAACAAGAGTCATGAACAATCACTGTGAAGACAACATCCCCACAACCCACCACTCACTCAAAGGTGATTCTGGGAGTCCATGAAACCCAATACTGTTCCCTCTGCCCCTCCCCAAGTCAGTCACCAGAGTATCACCTTTACAGCCTGAGAGAGACACATCGGAGCTCTGGGAACTGTCTCTGCCTAGAGTGAAATTATATATATGTTAATGGAAAGGTAATAACAGGGACCATATTTTGCTGGAGGATCTATTATGGATTTCCAGAGCTCCTCAAATAATTCAGCTTCAACCCAAAGGCATCAGGGATTATCTGGCTCCTTACACTTACCTGAAGCTGGAGCATAGTCCCCTCCTCTCCCACCTGTGAGAAGAAAAACTGTCAGAGACCAGGGAAGTCCCCGATCCTAGGAAGTTTCCAGAACTGACAGCAGACCCAGGGTAGAGACAGGAGCAATGAGGGTGTGGATGTGTTTCCCATTAATGAGGCAGAACACACGTCTAAAAGGGGCTGAGGGAAAACTCAGACCCTGCCCTTTCCTACCTGGGTTTCTACTCCTCTTCATCACCACAGCCACCACAGCTCCAATGATCACAGCTCCAAGGAGAACCAGACCAGCAATGACTGCTGTGATGGGGACCGTGGACTGAGGAGGCTCTGGGAAAGGAAGGACAGGAAGGGAAGGTGAGGGTCATGACCCCAGTTCTCAGTCCTGACCTTGCTCAGGGAATGAGAAGGTTCCTGCCTTCCCTGACCCCAGCTCTGCACCCACTCCCTCCTTACCCCATCTCAGGGTCAGGGGCTCAGGCAGCCCCTCATGGTGCACATGGCATGTGTATTTGTGCTCCTCTCCAGAAGGAACCACCAGAGATGTCCACTTCTGGAAGGTTCCATCCCCAGAAGGTCTGGTCTCCACCAGCTCCATGTCCTGAGTCTGTTCCTCCTCCTCCCTCTGCCAGGTCAGGGTGATGAAGGCAGGGTAGAAGCCCATGGCCCAGCACCTCAGGGTGACATCACCTTTAGTTCCAGGATGATGGGTCACATATGCCTTTGGGGGATCTGTGTGGAAGATTTAAGGAATCCCACAATTAACAAGGTAAAATGAAATCTGCAAAGACAAAGTTATATTCTGGAGTAGGAATCATCTTTTTTGTTTGTTTATTTTTGTTTTCGAGACAGGGTTTCTCTGTAGCTTTTGGAGCCTGTCCTGGAACTAGCTCTTCTAGACCAGGCTGGCCTCAAACTTACAGAGATCCGCCGCCTCTGCCTCCCTATTAAAGGCATGCGTCATTACTGCCTGGCTGACAAAGTTAAATCAATGATGACACTGAACTATGTGACTGTTTGAACACTTCTGTCATCACACTAGTGACCTGCAGGTAGAGCTGGTCCCCTCAACACAGAACTGCACATTTTCCTGGGGACCCAGAAGCTAAGAGCCAGCAGATCAACATGGTCTTCCTTATATGATGTTCTATAGCATAAGTTATGTAGGAAAAGAATGAAGGAATGGAAAATAATTAATTTATATATGTGATTAAATTCACATAAATTAAGAGACTAAGAAGAAGGAGGTACATGAGGTGCCACCAACTTCTGCTGCCACCATTGAGGCACAACCACTGTGTCCATCCTGCTGACCAGCATTAGCTGTCTGATCAAGTGAACAGCCATCACCAAAATGTGTAGCACAGTTGGGAGAACCTCTGACTCTCAGCCAGAGAAAATGACTCCCCAAGCCACACCTCTGTGGGGACAAGATACCAGTTATAGCCAGGCAGTGGTGGCGCACGCCTTTAATTCCAGCACTCAGGAAGCAGAGGCAGGCAGAACTCTGTGAGTTCAAGGCCAGCCTGGCCTACAAGAGCTAGTTCCAGACCAGATCCTAAAGGTTCAGAGAAACCTTGTCTTGAAAATCAAAATCAAAAACAAGACACCCAGCATCACTGAAGTGTGCTGTGGAGCCCAGTGCAGCACTCACTGGGACACAGTGGTGCTCACAGGGTGTGTGGATCTTCCCTGCAGTCTTGGAGTTGCAGAAGACCCTGTCTCTGAGGAAGTTCAATTCCTAAATCACTGGGGCAACATGGTATCTTGTTGAGTCGGAGAGTGGGGGGGGGGGGGGGGGGGGGATGGGGTATGGGTCTCTGGATAGCTAGTTCTAGAAGAAAATAGTCTAATCTCCCAGGAATCTTTCTCTTTTAAAGGGAACACTGACTTTCTCCAAAGCTATGAAGAAACCGTGTCTAAAAAAAAAAAAAAACACCACCACTGATTCAACTTGTTTAATTATCCATTCCCCATGGCATCTATGGAGACTGATACACATGATAAAACAGGGGAGGGAGAGAAGAAATACCATCCTAGTGAGGAAGAAAAATACACAAACACACACACACACACGACAAAAAATGACTTCGAAAATAAAGCCAAACAAACAAACAAACAAAAAAAAATGAAAGGAAAAAACGAAGAGAAAAACCCCCCGCATAATTTAGTATTTGTCTAGGGCTCCCTGTAAGTTCCCACGTGACCATTCTAGGAAGAGATAGAATTGGGGTGTGGGAAGGATGCAAACCTCACACACAGGAATCTGGGAGAATGTATTCTTTGGAAAGTTCTAGAAACTGGGGGAAGCAGCCTAGGGTAGGGGTGCCCATGTCTCCCATCAGGTAAAGAAGACTCCGGTCCTGGTGTGTAAGGGCTGACACACTCAGATGACAGGACTCAGTGTCCACACACACTGGGTGTGGCAGAGAACCCGGCCTGGGAGAGGCCATGGCTGACAGGGGCTGCAGACTGAAGGAGCCACTGTTGGTGATGTTGGGATCCTCTCTCCTCCCTCCTGAGACAGATGTGGAACTGTCCAGGGAGAAGGCTGAGCCCTGGGAGGTCAGTGCAGTCCCTGCCATGCTGGATCAGGAGACCCAGGGACCCCGTCTGCCCTCAGAGACCAGGGGCATGACCCCATGAGGGTTTCCTCTTCCTCAGGACTGAGCCCAGCAGGAGGGCAGAGGGAGGAGTTGCTCGCGGCCCCCGCACCTGTGCGCAGCAGCGCGTCCTTCCCGATCTCCAGGTATCTGCGTAGCCAAGGCACGCACTCGCCCTCCACGTAGGCCTTGGTGACCTCTGCCTCCCCAGCCTGCTCCCACTTGCGCCGGGTGATCTGCGCCGCCGTGTCCGCCGCCGTCCACGTCTTCAGGTCCTCGTTCAGGGCGATGTAATCGTGGCCATCGTAGGCGTACTGGTCATACCCGCGGAGGAGGCGCCCGTCCGACCCCACCTCACAGCCAAACATCTCCTGGATGGTGTGGGAGCCTGCGAGGACCCCACGGTCAGCCTCGCCCACCCGCCCCGCCCCCGTAACCTACGCCCGCGGCCCCGCCCACCCGCGGACTCTAAACCAAAAGGGAAACCGGGTCCGGTCCCCGCTCTCCTCCCGAACCTCGGACCTGGGACCCGGGGCGACCGCGGTCCGTGCGTAGGGACGTGGAGGGGTCGTGACCTCCGACCACGGTCACTCACCGCCCTCGCTCTGGTTGTAGTAGCCGAGCAGATTTCTTAGGTTCATTCGGAAAGTCTGCTCGTCGTTCTTGGCGTTCCTTGTGCTCCTCTCCCAATACTCCGGCCCCTCCTGCTCCATCCACGGCGCCCGCGGCTCGGCCTTCTGAGTCTCAGAGTCGCTGTCGAAGCGTTCGAACTGCGTGTCGTCCACGTAGCCGACTTCCATGTACCGGGGCTCCCCGAGGCCGGGCCGGGACACGATGGTGTAGAAATACCGTAGCGAGTGCGAGCCTGGGGGCGGCGCGCGGTGAGACCCCGACCCTGCCCCCGGGACCCCGGGCAGGGGCGCGGGCCGGGAGGGGAGCAGGGCGCGGGGCTCGGGACGCGGGTGGGGAAGGGGCGGGAGGGCCCGGCTGGGCCACGCGGGGACGCGGCTTCCCCGGTGCCTACCCCGCCCTCCCCGCAGAGCCCGGTTCCCTCCCGACCCCGCACTCACCCGCGCGGGTCTGGGTCGGGGCCAGGGCGGCCGCCAGCAGCAGGAGCAGCGTGCGTGGCCACATCGCCCCATATCAGATCTGGGGAGCATCTGAGTTCTGAGGTCTGCGTGGACTTTATAACCGGTGACCGCGGCGACGCTGGTTGGTTCTCCGGGATCTCACCATCCAATGGGGTTAAGAACTGCCAAGTTGTCACTAGTGTCCAGCAGAAGGACCTGACCAATCCCTAGTCCTCGACGTCCCCACCCAGACCTCACCCTCCTGGGGACTAAGACTTTGCCTGAGCCCCGTGCTGCGGGATGGAGTGCTGTGTGTCATGGTGTCTCTGAGCCGCCTAAGGCCAACTGCTCCTCAGGTCAGTCAGGGTGAAACCTAAGAGCATGAAGATTCCAGGTAAAATAAAGCACTTAAAATGGATGTTCACGGAAACAGGTGCTGTCGGAGTCCTGGAGGGTGCGGGGCAGCCGTGGACACCGGCATCGGGAGGTGACTGGAGATTTTACAGCTCTGATTAAGCACTTTCGACACACTGTGTCATATGTGACTCTCCCTGCAGGAAGGAGGCCCTGCTCACCTCTGCTTTCACTTTCTACTTACGTTTGGCAGCGATCCGAAGACATCAAGTAAAAATACACAGAAAAATAAATTTATAAGTTAAATTTTCTCCACTCCATTGAACACAGATGAAACCTAGAATCTCCAGTGTGTATCTCTGCTATGAGAATCACCCACTGTCCAGTGTCTATACTGCACAGATCAGAGGAACTCAGAAGCCAACTGTTATCAGATCCAGTGTCCCTCAACTCTGTGACATTCATCCTTATCAGCTCATAAAGTGAGAGTGAAGGACAGAAGGGGGGGACATGGTCACAGATTACATAACTGCTACCACTCTCTTCATTATTTTCTTTTTTAGTAGTTATAGTTCCTCTCTTACTGTGGTTTATTCACTAAAGCAACTGCACCATTGAAGTGTGTGCACACAGGGAAACGTGGAGTGTAGACAGGGTCAGTGCCCTGCTGTATTTGGCTCCACAGGGGTCTCTTCCCATGGAAAAGGGGTCCACTGTGCTGAGACAATGACCCAGGTCCACACGGACAATTTCAGGACTATGGAATGAAGATCTGTGTAAACACAAGCACCTGGAGCCACAGACAATCATCTGGGAAGAAACACTAGGAGTCTGAGTGTAAGCACCAGGCTGTGAAGACAGGATCCTGAGTGAAGAGGCAAAGTCTCTGTTTACAGTGAAATCCTGAGCATCAGGCTTGGCAGTGTGAGCTGCCCACACAGGAGCCTGGTCTCTGTGGGAGTCTGTGTGGTGCTTGCAGGCCAGCACCTCTGCTTTAAAGAGAAGCATCTCTGCCCTGCATCCCAACCAGCTTGTTGTTGCCATTGTGTTCCCAGAAGTGACTTTTCTCCTAGAGTGTCCAGGATCTGACTGATGATGAGAAAAAGGAAGAGGAAGGGTGAGGAGAGGATGAAAAGGAGTCTGACCTGTACGTCCCTCCTGTGTTTTTTTTTTTTTTTTTTTTAATCAAGGTCTGTCTCCACAGCTCTGGCTCTCCTTGATCTCACAGACACCCACCTGTCTTTGCATCCCAAGTACTGAGATTAAAGGCTGTGTTACCATGTTACTTACTTTTCTATGTTAGTTACTTTTCTATGGCTGTGAAGACACTATGACACCAGCAACCTATAAAAAGACTTGTTTCATTTGGGTTTAAGTTTTAGAGGGTTTAACTCCATGATGGCAGAGGAAGGTGTGGTGGTAGGAACAGCTGAGAGCTCACATCTTGAACCATAGGCAAGTGTCAGAGACAATGGGAATAGTGGGAGTCTTTAAAACCTCCATTCCCAGCCCCAGTGACACACCTCCTACAACAGGGCCATACTTCCTGATCCTTTCCAAACAGTTCCATCAGCTGGAGCTGAAGCATCCAAACCCCTGAGCCTGTGTGGCCATTCTCATTCAAACCCCTACAGTATTCAGTGTGGGATGTCAGATGCCCTGCAGGGTTCTGCAGATGTGTCCACTGTGGTCTGTAGACAAAGACCCTCAAACAGGAGGACCCCACTGCACTAGGGTCTCCCCCTTTGCCTCTGTCCCCTCCTGCTCAGTCCTCTGCCTTCTCCCTCAGGCCTCACCCAGCAGGGCTCAGCACCCCTCACTCCAGAGCTCTGCACTAACACTGTCTCTTCCTTTGCATCTAGTTTCTCTCTGTGGTCAGCCATCTTGTCAGCCATCTTGCTGTGACCCAGGCTGTGTGGTTTCCTGGGGCTGGAGAGGTGCTCAGAGGTTCAGAGTACCTGTTGCTGTCCCAGAGGATCCAGGTTCAGTTCCCAGCACCCACATGGTCCTTCACAACCATCTGTGGCTCCAGTTCCCGGAGATCCAGTGTCTGGTGCACCTGCATACTCATAAGCTTAAAATATACAACTAATAAAAACAGAATAAAAAATACATTTTAAAAATATGCTATAATGTGTCCCTTTTCCTTTCCTACACATCTAGAGTGTGAGTCCCAGGCGCTGAGGGCACAGGGCTGTTTAGTCAACATTGTAATTCCAGCCAAAGGAGCCGGAGCTGGAGCAGGACAGGGACCGATGACTGAAATAGACTGTGCTGAAATGGTAATTTGCAAAACAGCATTAAATAAAAAAATACAAAAAGATTTCATTCTATAGACCTACTGTGCACAGTGGATTACAGCCCCATTAAAGAAAACACTGTGTGTGCTCATCTTTGAGCTTGAACCATGTGCTAGTTTTTAATTGCTGCTGGAAAAGAAAAATTTTAGTCACTTAAATAGTGACTTGTGACAGACCATGACATCCCCAACATCCAGAGAGTTCCTGCAGTTAGTGATGCCCCCTGACCCCATCTTCATTATTACTTCAGGCCTTCCAGGCTCTCACCTTTTTAATATGAAGGAGAAGCATCAGAGTCTAGGGTGAAAGTTCAACCCATGGAAGAAAAACAACAGGAGGTCTCGGTCTGAGCAAACAGAGGGTGAGGCTGAAGGGGACCCATGCTGCCTGAGCTGCCCCACAGGCTCCTGTCCACACTACTCCAGGGTCTCGGGTCTCAGGCTGCCCTGCCCTCATCAAACTTAGAGCCTGGTGGAACATCACATCCTTTTCCACCAGTGGGAAGAAGACATCTTGTTTCTTTCAGGGTTGAAGCAGATCCATGGGAACCAAAAGAGGCTGCAAATCCTGGAACCAGGGAATTTTCTAGAACTCTGAAGCAGCAGCTAAAGTAAGAGTATTAATTGGTTAAAACAGGATCCTTAATTTGGGCTGAGGATGTGTGGGAGGGCCCTGCTGAAGCTGAGAACTTTGAACCCTTAGAGTCTCAGCTTTATTTCACCTCTCCGCCCTCAGCCACGCCCCCTGAAGTCAGGGCTTCTTTGTGTAACAGTCCTGACTGTCCTGGAACTCTCCCTGTAGACTGGGTTTGCCTTAAACTCACTCAGATCCACCTGCCTCTCCCTCCTGAGTGCTGGATTAAAGTCATGCACAACCACCGCCCCACAGCTTTTTCACCTTTGAAGGAGAAAATTAATCCTTCATTGTCTGTTAACCAGCAGTGACTGTCTCTGAAGGAAATGTTAACCAAGACAATCCTGATGTCCCTCAGAACCCAACATTAGTTGCCTTTAGACCTATTGTGAGCATCCAGGTACACCTGGCCCTGCCCCTTGGGGACCTGACAGAGTGTGTTACCCTGTGCACATAGCAGACTGTACCCTGGCCTGCTGTGTGGTCTCTGCACATGTGCTGTGCCCCATCCCTTTAAAGAGCAGAGTTCTGCCTACTCCTTTCTCTCTTTTTCTTCTTCTCTCGCATAGCGCTCTCTTTCTCTCTTTCTCTCTCTGCCTCTTTGCACCTCTCTCTCTGTTTCCCCACAAAACTGCTTGGTGTTTTTCTCTCCCCTTGCACCCTTCCCCCCAGAAAAACTCCACACAGCTCTGTCTGCATGGCTTGTCAGTCTCTCACCCACCCTGGGGCTCCTTGGACCCACACCACCCACTCAGGTCCATCTTGTACCACATGGTAACACCTATAGCCAGACTGCTGGGGAATATGTATTGGAATGGATTTTGAGGGTGTGGAATAATGGTGGAAGGAATATTAAAATTGTGTCAGATTGGGTTTATTGACATATCAATAAATTGTCCTCTAAGTGCAAATTCTAGATTTAATATGGAAGCGCTCACAGTTTAAAAAGGTCAAATGTTTATTTGGATGGTTGTCTGAAGCATTTGTCAAAGATGGCTTCCTGATAAGGACTTGGAGATGCCTGACATCCCTTGGCTCAGTGTTGATGAAGGGATTTTAAGGCTCAGGGAAGTTGCAGTGCTGGAGTGAGTGTGCTGTGTAAAACCTAATCCTCCACAATGGGAAGTCCAGAAGACACGTCCTTCATGTATCCTGTAAGACACGGAGTGATGAGGGGCACCAGCAGGGTTCGAGAGTTTTGTTGTCAACTTTTTCCTTGAGCCAGAACTTAGGGTTGGGATACTGCTGCTCAGTGCAGCTCAGCTGGACGAATTAAAGACAGTGGGTTCATTGGGTCACAAGGTATCAGGGACAAATGGCAGCATGGAATTCTAAAGACAAGGTGATCACAGTTATATAATGCTCAGCACAGGCGAAGGTAATTTTATGGTGGCATGAGTCACACGGACTTGGTACTGGATTAACCATGGTGTTTCCAGATAAGAAATAAATAAGAAGCTGTTGTAGTCAGTGTCCTGTTGCTGTGAAGAGACACCATGAGCATGGAA